AATTGGAATTGGAATTGGAATTGAAAGTGAAATCTAAAAATTAAATTCAAAAATTAAAAAAAAAATTGGTCCAAAATGAGGTCGAAATTCACCCAAAATTCGCTCAAAATAATAAATCCCAATAAACAGCCAATAAATCCCTAATAAATCCAATTAAATTCTAATAAACCCAATTAAACCCCAATAAATCCAATTAAACCCCAATTCATCCCTAATAAACCCAATTAAACCCCAATAGAACCCCAATACATCCAATAAAACCCCAATAAATCCAATTAAACCCTAATAAATCCAATTAAACGCTAATAAAACCCCAATAAAATCCCTAATAAATCCAATTAAACTCAAATAAAATCCCAATAAATCCCTAATAAATCCAATTAAACTCTAATAAAACCCCAATAAAACCCCAATAAATCCAATTAAACTCTAATAAAGTCCCAATAAATCCCTAATAAATCCAATTAAACCCCAATTAAAACCAAATAAAAGCCCAATAAATCCAATTAAACTCTAATAAAATCCCAATAAATCCCTAATAAATCCAATTAAACTCCAATGAAGTCCCAATAAATCCCTAATAAATCCAATTAAACTCTAATAAAATCCCAATAAATCCCTAAAAAATCCAATTAAACTCTAATAAAATCCCAATAAATCCCTAATAAATCCAATTAAACTCTAATAAAATCCCAATAAAACCCTTATAAATCCAATTAAACTCTAATAAAACCCCAATAAAACCCCAATAAATCCAATTAAACTCGAATAAAACCCCAATAAATCCCTAATAAATCCAATTAAACTCTAATAAAACCCCAATAAATCCCTAATAAATCCAATTAAACTCTAATAAAATCCCAATAAATCCCTAATAAATCCAATTAAACCCCAATAAACCCCAATAAATCAAATTAAATCCTAATAAATCCAATTAAACCCCAATAAATACAATTAAACCCCTATTAAAACCAAATAAAAGCCCAATAAACCCAATTAAACTCTAATAAAATCCCAATAAAACCCCAATAAATCCCTAATAAATCCAATTAAACTCTAATAAAGTCCCAATAAAACCCTAATAAATCCAATTAAACTCTAATAAAACCCCAATAAAACCCCAATAAAAGCCCAATAAATCCAATTAAACTCTAATAAAGCCCCAATAAAACCCCAATAAATCCAATTAAACTCTAATAAAATCCCAATAAATCCCTAATAAATCCAATTAAACTCTAATAAAGTCCCAATAAAATCCGAATAAATCCAATTAAACTCTAATAAAATCCCAATAAAATCCCAATAAATCCAATTAAACTCTAATAAAACCCCAATAAATCCCTAATAAATTCAATTAAACTCTAATAAAATCCCAATAAAACCCCAATAAATCCAATTAAACTCTAATAAAATCCCAATAAAACCCAATAAATCCAATTAAACTCTAATAAAACCCCAATAAAACCCCAATAAATCCAATTAAACCCCAATTAAAACCAAATAAAAGCCCAATAAACCCAATTAAACTCTAATAAAACCCCAATAAAACCCCAATAAATCCAATTAAACTCTAATAAAACCCCAATAAAACCCCAATAAATCCAATTAAACTCTAATAAAATCCCAATAAATCCCTAATAAATCCAATTAAACTCTAATAAAATCCCAATAAAATCCCAATAAAATCCCAATAAAATCCCAATAAAATCCTAATAAATCCAATTAAACTCTAATAAAATTCCAATAAAACCCCAATAAATCCAATTAAACTCGAATAAAACCCCAATAAATCCCTAATAAACCCAATTAAACTCTAATAAAACCCCAATAAACCCCCAATAAACATAAAATAAATAGAAAATAAATAAGAAATAAATATAAAATAAATATAAAATAAAGGGTTTTGTGGCCCCACCTTTGAAGAAGACGAATTTTCCGTCGCTCCTCTCGTAGGCGGCGTCGATGGCGCCCGGGAGCCCCGGCCAGAAGTGGCCGATGGGCAACGGGTACCCGGGCATGACCCGGCCCTGCCGGAGCCGCCAGAACCAGCGGTCCTGGGGGGAAAAACGGGAGGAAAACGGTGAAAAAACGGGGAGAAACGGTGAAAAAATGAGAAAAACGGTGAAAAAACGGGGAGAAATGGGGAAAAAACGGGGAAAAACGGTGAAAAAATGGGGATAAATGGGGATAAAATGAGAAAAAACGGTGAAAAACGGTGAAAAAATGGGGAAAAACGGTGAGAAACGGTGAAAAAATGGGGAAAAATGGGGAAAAAATGGGAAAAAATGGGGGGAAAACCCAGGGAGAAAATGGGGAAAAAATGGAAATAAAATGGAAATGAAATGGAAATAAAATGGAAATAAAATGGAAATAAAATGGAAATAAAATGGAAATAAAATGCAAATAAAATGGAAATAAAGTAATTTAAGAAGCAGCAAAAAATTCCTGAAAATTCCCAAAAATTCCCCAAAAAAATCCCAAAAATTCCTGAAAAATTCCCGAAATTTCCATCGAGTCCCTGCCCTAAATCAGATATGAAAAGGTCCTGGAAGGTCGATAAAAATCGGGAAAAAATCGGAAAAAAAAGGGAAAAAAAATCGGAAAAAAAATCGGAAAAATTCCCAAAAATTCCCAGAAATTCCCAGAACATTTCCATGGAGTCCCTGCCTTAAACCGCACATGAAAAGGTCCTGGAAGATCGATAAAAATCGATAAAAATCGATAAAAATCGATAAAAACCGTGAAAAATGGGGAAAAAAATCGGAAAAAAAATTCCCAAAAATTCCCAAAAATTCCCAAAAAATTCCCCAAAATTCCTGAAAACTTCCCGAAAATTCCTGAAATTTCCAATCAAGTCCCTGCCTTAAATCGCGTCCGAAAAGGTCCTGGAAGATCGATAAAAATGAATAAAAATGGGGGAAAAATGGGAAAAATTCGGAAAAAAATCGGAAAAAAAATCGGAAAAATTCCCGGAAAATTCCCAAAAATTCCTGAAAAATTCGCCAAATTTCCATGGAGTCCCTGCCTTAAATCGCACATGAATAGGTCGTGGAAGGTCGATAAAAACACGGGGAAAAAAGGGAAAAAAATGGGAAAAAATCGGAAAAAAATGCGAAAAAATTGCAAAAAAATTCCCAAAATTTCCCCCAAAAATTCCTGAAAAATTTCCCGAAAAATTCCCGGAAAATTCCCGGAAATTTCCATCAAGTCCCTGCCCTAAACCGCGCCCGAAAAGGGCCTGGAAGGTCGATAAAAATCAAAACTAAATGGGAAAAAATGGGGAAAAAAAGGGAAAAAATTGTGGAAAAAATTCCCAAAAATTCCCAAAAAATTCCCAAAAATTCCTGAAAAATTCCCGAAAATTCCTGAAATTTCCAATCAAGTCCCTGCCTTAAATCGCGCCCGAAAAGGTCCTGGAAGATCGATAAAAATCGATAAAAACCCGGGAAAAAATGGGAAAAAAATGCGAAAAAATTGCAAAAAAATTCCCAAAAATTCCCCCAAAAATTCC